TGGGCAAGAACTGGAGTGCTCGAAACCATGTGTTTGATCTGTTTGAACGCACGCGTCTGTGCCGCTCCCCACACCCAGGGGCGTCCTTACGTGTCAGATCGCGAAGAGGCTTGGCGACTTCAGACAGAGAGGGTAGGTACTTTGCCAGGTACTGTACCATGCCGCAAAACCGGCGGACATCGTGGACGTTCTGGGGCTCTGGCATGTCGAGTATCGCCGCCACCTTCGCAGGGTCAGCGGAGACCCCATCAGCAGTGATGATGTGACCCAGAAACGAGATCTGAGGACAGTAGAAAGAACACTTTTTGTGATTCAGGCTGATACCCTTCTCTGCACACCGCTTCAGGAGGGCATGTAAGTTCGCATCATGATCAGCCTTGGTGTTGCCAGTCACGACAATATCATCTGCAACACACACTACACCAGCGAGACCCTCCAGTGCATCATGTAAGTGGCGCTGAAAGATTTCACTCGACACACACAGACCGAAAGGAAGGCGTGTCCAGCAGAACCGCCCAAAAGGAGTGGTCATGGTAGTCAACAGACTCGACTCCTCTGTCAACTCCAGATGCCAAAAAGCATTGGACACATCAAGCTTTGAAAACACTTTAGCTCCTGTAAACTTGGGTAAAACATCCTCTAGTGTGGGTAGCTGGTATCTCTCACGACACAGCACCTTGTTCAGAGACTGAGGATCAATACAGATGCGCAGAGACCCATCACTTTTGGTAGCAATCGCCATCTGGCTAGTCCAGTCAGTGGGCTCAGTCACGGGACGCAAGACACCCAACGCACACAGACGGTCAAGTTCAGCTTTGACCTTTTCCTGCATAGCTAGGGGTAGTTTCCTGGCTGGTAAGACAGTTGGGACAGCGTCTCGCACGTGGAGTTTCACAGAGCCTGGCAGCTTTCCCAGCGATCCATCAAACACAGTGGGAAACTGCATCTCTACAGAGCTGACAGAAGACACAAAATTGTCCCTCTGTACCAGAATCAATCCCAGCTCCTGAACAGCATCTACTCCAAGAAGGGGTCGAAAGTCATCCTGGCAGACAAAGAAATGAACATCGTGCCTGGACCCAGTCTTTGGGTTCAGCACTGAAACCCTTGTCTCACCTAGAGGCGAGTATGTGGAGCCGTCCCACATCTTAAGAGTCCTTGAGGTAGGCTGGCAAGCATCAACATACCTCTGTGGGAGAAGGTTCACAGTGGCACCAGAGTCCAGTTGAAAACGAACACTGTGATTCCCCACATTCATGAGTGCACTGACATCTCCTTTACCCTCTTTGCTCACAGCACCAACCCATCCAGCATCACAATCGTCAGTGTCAGAGGGAGCAGGGTCAGGGTTGTGCTCATGTTGAACAGTATCAACAGCAAAAAGTGCTCACAGATCTTACTCGTGCTCCTGCTCTAGAACGCCTAGGACATTTTGAGCTACATGCAAAATGGTTCTGTTCACCACAGACAACACAGTACTTGCCATAAGCAGGGCATTTCTCTTTCCTCAGCTCATGCTGGCGGCCACAGAACAAACAAGTTCTAGTAGGGACAGTGGTAGTATGTCGAGTTTGAGAACTCGCAGCAGTGGGTCTGTGAGATGGAGCACGGGGCTTACTTGACTGGTCAGTGTTCCTAGCTGGCTGACTGGCAGTAGAGTGACGCTGAACACCATGAACAGCGTTTGGGCTAGAGCTCATACCCATGGAGCGGGCCTGCGCCCGACACTCCTCCGCAGCACGGATGATGTCAAGACACCTGGACAGAGTGAGACTGTCCTCTCGAAGCAACCTTTCCTTCACCCTTGTGTCCTGTAGAGAGAAAACAATTTTATCCCTGATCATATCATCCTCCCCATCACCAAAATGGCATGTTTTGGCACGGGTTCGCAGTTCGGACACAAAAAAGTCAATGCCGTCATACTGGGTCATGTCGACAGACCAGAAACGATGACGCTCATACACCACATTGCTCTTTGGACTGCAAAACTCTGAAAATTTTCTCAAGACAATCTCGGGATCATCAGCATCCTCATCTGGCAAATACTTAAAATGATTGTACACCTCAATAGCATCCTCCCCAGCAAGGTTAAGAAGAATAGCCAGTCGCTGAGCTTTGGGCTTCGAACCAAGACCAGATGCTTTCAAGTAAATCTGATAGGATTGCTCCCAGCGACGAAAAACCTCCCCCAAATTACCCTTAGCATGGATATCAAGTGGTTTCGGGGCACGAAAATCAGATGCCATCACGAATAAAAAAAAATGTCAGCAAGCAAGATGTGAAAGAAATTGCAACAAGTAAGAAAATCGTGCAACACAGACCTAATTCAGATTCAGAAAGCTGCCACCATGTTGATTTTGTCGTGTTGCACTGTGACTCTGATCCAGAGAAGAGAGCAAGGTTACTGCGCGATAAATCTATTGGCCGTAGTCGAGCAGAAACAGAGGCCACAGGTAGGTGCGACGAATGAGAAAAGAACAGACCAACCTCGTAAGCAGGGCAAACGCAATCAGCAGGCTGGCACAGAACCAACAGTAAGTGGAAAGCGAAAACCAATGCACGGAGCAGCCACGTGCGTCCAGTCAGCCACAGTCAGTCAAAAAGCACGCTCATTATTGCCGCAGCCCCGGCGTCGGCTCGGGTCCTAAACAGCTGCCAACAATCGGGTCCTAAACAGCTGCCGAACAAATCGCGAGCCATCAACAACAAACATCAAACGATTTTTACTTAAGAGCAATTTTACTAAGCTACTACCGTACTGTCTCAAATAGCCCCACTTTACGGCAGTCAATTACGGGGTAGACGGGGCAAAAAGACCGCAAGCTAACGGTCCAACGGTTGCTGAGAAATAAGCCACAGAAAAGCTTTACAGGCCGGGCCGGGCTGGGCCGGACCGGGCCGATCATACTGAGATTTTCCGTTATATTGCAAAGACTTCGCTTCGCTAGCTGCTGTCGCTCGCTCGTAATAATACATGTCGCGTGTCTGAGCATTATTGTATCAATGAATTAAACCAGTATAACGCCTTTTGGGGCGGCCAACGGAGCGAGCGAGAGGGTGGGCCTTGCACGTGCGAAACTTCGAGGGAGTACCTCCAACTGACTTATGCACGGCACCTTACTAACTGGTCTCTAGCGAGGTGCCAAATTTGAGCACAATCGGCCCAGCCGTTCTCGAGATCTGGAAGCGGCACCCTGCACGTGCGCACGTGCAAAATGGGTCCCAAATGACTTGTGCACGGCACCCTACTAACTGGTCCCTCACCGTGTACCAAATTTGAGCAACATCGGTCCGGCCGTTCTCGAGATCTGGAAACGACCCCTGCACGTGCGCACGTGCAGCAGCACCCCAACTCTGGCACATGGATATGCAGTGCCTAGTGGGTGCCTACCTACATGCCAACTTTCAGCGCAATCGGCCAAGTAGTTACCGAGATATTGCAACAATTACAAAACGGACACCCGTTTTGCACGTGGCACGGCACGTGCATAAGGGGTCACCCACATGCATCGGGAATAGTCCAATACTTGGTGGAAGGAATGAAGCTACCCTACAAAAATTACCGCGTGTAAATCGGTCAAGTGGTTGCCGAGACATACCTAAGCCTCGCAATTGCGTCCGCACGGCCGGCCGGCCGCTCATACTCAGAAATTTCCGTTAAAGGGACTATCCCACCTTCTAAAATGTTGTTAAAACCAGTTAAATTGTGCCCGATTTTATAGATTGGATGACCAGGAACACGGTTCTGGCATTTGTTTTTCATTAAACATCTTAGGCTTCCCATATTCCAAACACAAACTTTCAAATATGTGACGTCACAGCCCAAAATTACCTTCTTCCCCAGGCCACATTACTGTCATAAAGCTGATTCTTTTTACTCTGTAGGCACCACAACAAAGTTCAGACCAAGTTTTAAGCGATTTTTCAACGAACAAACCCATTTAAATCAGAATGACTAAACGAGGTGACGTCACACTAACGGTCGCTCCATGTTGAAGATAGGGCCTTGCACAAGGCCCATTTTCAAATGAAGGGAACGAATTTCTTCAACACCAAGAGGCCGCGGGGTTTGCAACCTAGATATGTAGATAGTGGTTTCTGAACCTCGCCGCAAACTTGGCTATCTCAACTCAAACCCCATGTTAAAGGTGGGATAGTCCCTTTAATCGAGTCGGGGGAGGTTTGGTCAATCGCTGTCATTTTTAGCACGTGATTTTTTTTGTCACACGTGCCAAAAATGGCAACGATTCTGCTATTTTTGACAACGATGAAGCCGATTTCACTCCTCAGCGAGGAAATCACGATTTTGGAAAGATAGGCACTGGTTTTCGAAAAGAAGTGCTGCCACCTGGTGCAAGAGGAAGAAGCCAGCCTAAATATGCCCGTTGTTTGTATGGTAGTTTGTTTTGTGGCCTGAAATTGGAACTTAAAATTGAGGCATCCGAAAATGATCGATATTGATCGAAAACATGATGTTGATGAAAAAAATAATATGTTAAGTTGAGAGAGGAGGTCATTCTATCCAGATGCGGTGATTTACTTCTTGAAATTATTTTGCTAATTGACGGCCGCGTATCATCCGTCATTGCATGGCGGTCGTCATAAACAAAAATAATTTCAAGAAGTAAACCACCGCATCTGGATGAAATCGCCTCCTCTTTCAACTTATCATGTTCTTTTTATCAAAATTATGTTTTCGATCAATATTGATCATTTTCGGATGCTGCAAATTGAAGTTCCAACTTCAGGCCACAACAAGGGTATACGTCAACGTTGGACTACCATACAAACAACGGTTATATTAACCCTCGCCCGCACATGCCATTTTCCCATCCTAGAACGCACATGGGGGGGGGGGGGTGCCACCCCCCACGGTTCGTCGGAAGATCATCTCAGGCTCAAAAGAAACGATATATACCTACCATTCGAAAGCTGACGGTAAGCTGAATCCAAAAATGTAATTTTTATCCAAATCGATCAATGGCTTTTTTAAAATTGCGTTTTTGTAGAAACGATATAATATTTTATTCAACGGTCTGTCCCGGACATTCCTGAAAACATAAACATGTATTTTTGAGTTCCAGTGAAAGCTGAACGCCAAAAGAAGCAATATTTCCAAACATTAATATGCGTCTCCCACAGCCGACAATATGGCGCAATCACACAGCTCAGTGTCACGATGGACCAAAGTCGGCCACACAGAAGCGTGAAATGACACTTATCGACTCGCAGACCCGGCGCTCTCGGCCCGCCTGACCGGCCACGGCAAGGAGGTTCGGCTGTCGTTCTACTAAACGGGCGTCATGTTTGTTAGTTTAACGATTCAAGTCGGTACTTGAGTTATTCAGGATACATGAGCAGAAGATTCATTGCTCTCTCATCTTCACATCATGCATTAATTTGCATTTATTCATGTCTACTTTGCTCAATTTGACACAGGACGTTCCCCCTGGCCGGCACTATATAACATACCACCCCCTGGCCGGCACTATATAACATACACGCCCCTGGTCGGCACTATATAACATACACGCCCCTGGCCGGCACTATATAACATACGACCCCCTGGCCGGCACTATATAACATACCACCCCCTGGCCGGCACTATATAACATACACGCCCCTGGCCGGCACTATATAACATACACGCCCCTGGTCGGCACTATATAACATACACGCCCCTGGCCGGCACTATATAACATACACGCCCCTGGCCGGCACTGTTCGCCGGACTTACATGCTCACTTGCGCGTGTGAGCAGCAGCCCGGCCATCACAGATGGCAGCGAACACGGCTGAGCGGCGCGCCGCGGCGGGCTGCCGCAGTCCGAGCGGCTGCCACCTGCCGCCGCACCGGGGCCGTGGCGCCGTCACAGCTTGGGCACGCCGCCGAACTTGGCGCGGGTCTTGTAGCAGACCTGGTGCACCTCGGCGTACACTGGGTGGCAATCGGAGCGCACGCGCTCCATCCAGGCGGCCAGGCGCGGCCGGCCCGCCGCCACGTCGTAATTCACCATTACTGTGGCCGCACAGGGACAAGACGCGTCAGACGCTGCTGGTACAGGGACGCGTCAGAACACGCTGCTGGTACAGGGACGGGACGCGTCAGACACAGTACTGGTACTGGCACAGGGACGGGACGCGTCAGAACACGCTGCTGGTGCAGGGACGGGACGGGTCAGACACAGTACTGGTACAGGGACGGGACGGGACGCGTCAGACGCGGTACTGGTACAGGGACGGGACGCGTCAGACGCGGTACTGGTACAGGGACGGGACGCGTCAGACGCGGTACTGGTACAGGGACGGGACGCGTCAGACGCGGTACTGGTACAGGGACGGGACGGGACGGGACGCGTCAGACGCGGTACTGGTACAGGGACGGGACGCGTCAGACGCGGTACTGGTACAGGGACGGGACGCGTCAGACGCGGTACTGGTACAGGGACGGGACGCGTCAGACGCGGTACTGGTACAGGGACGCGTCAGACGCGGTACTGGTACAGGGACGGGACACGTCAGACGCGGTACTGGTACAGGGACGCGTCAGACGCGGTACTGGTACAGGGACGGGACGGGACGGGACGCGTCAGACACAGTACTGACACAGGGACGGGACGCGTCAGACGCGGTACTGGTACAGGGACGGGACGGGTCAGACACAGTATTGACACAGGGACGGGACGCGTCAGACTGTCGCCAAACACCTCTGAACTGAGCACGATATTGGCACAGACACGTCAGTCACCGAACAATTAGGGGGGTCCGAAATGCATAAAAGTTGTCCGAAACCACGGGAACCGGGTTTTTCCCATAGGTCCTTTCAATACCGTTCCAAAATGGTGCGGCAATCGAAATTTTAAAGAACTTTCACCTTGCCTCAAATCGATTGAAAGTTTATCAAATTTAGCCAATTTAGTACTTCATGAACTTTCGCTTTTAACCCGCGCCCCGTAGGGCTACCGGCGGACCCTACCACCCGTAGGGGGGGGGGGCCGTTTCGGCCCCCCCCCCTAAGATCTCGGAAAGTTACCGGCCGATTTTCAAAATTAAAACGGCGTTCGATAGCCCCACCCGGGAACTACCGTGTGACCAAATTTCATTGACCTAGGTCAAACCGATGACGTCACAGGTCAGGTCAAAGGTCAGATTTTCACCGTTCACAGGCAATTCAAGAAATGTGCTGTGAAAGCGAGTAAATTGGTAATTTATTGAAAACCATCGATGGTACATTGTTCGTCAAACACATACTTTGCTATCTGACGTCACTGATACCAGGTCAGGTCACAGCGAGGTCAGGTCACCGGGGGTCACAATATGAATGTGTCGTGTGATACATGTTTTATGGTCCATTTTACATGACAAATGCGATTATGTGGGTTAGGCAGCCTTTGGGGCCAGCCTAGGTCACGTTTTTGTGAATGTCAGGTCAAGGTCAGGTCAAATTAGGTCAAATTTCAAAGTTGATATTTTTGCATAAAATGGGTATCGATTCGATGCAGCTCGTCACGGGGAGTCTAATGGTGGTCTTTGTTTTGCTCTACGAGTTCTAGAATTGCCAAAAATTGAGTTTGAAAATTTGACGTCATCATTTTTGAACAGTTTTTTTCGCTATAACTTGGCCAAAAAACGAGGTATCGATCTGAAATTTGGTGTGTAGATAGAAGAAGGTAGGCACTATCCCATATATTCCGGTTTTTTCGAAACTCAAAAAACTTTTTGGATTTTTTGGCGAATATATCCAAAAAAATGCTTTTTTGATTTTTGGGGGTCAAAACTCAAAAATTTCAAAAATTCGAGATAGCAGTTTTGTAGCCCTGTCAATTCTACACCTTTTATGTCTTGATCATTTTTCTGTATCTTCAAAGCTGTAGTCCTGACAGGTCTTCTCGCGAAGGTCTTTTTTCGGTCGAAAATGACAGAACATGACGTCACTCTGACGTCATTTGTGGCCAACCTATCATAGCCTCTGGAAAAATTTTTGGTCACAATGTGTAAAATTGATGCCCGGAGGGGTACTGAAAGTTTGGTGGCGATATCTCCAGCCGTTTAGGAGATATCGACCGAAAAGGACAGGGGGGGGCCGTTTCGGCCCCCCCCTACGGGGCGCGGGTTTTAACATACGTCCCACAGTTTAATGCGCAATTGATGGGGCCGGTGATCTTGTTTTCAAGGAAAAATAGCTGCACAAATCACAAAATATATTATCATGCATGCCAAGAGTCAAATGGTGAAATCACATCATGACTAAATACCATGTAGATTACACCTAAATCACTTAACCCTATTTCTGGCGGGGGGGGGGCCTCAGGAGCCCCCCCCCCTGAGGTTTTTTGGTTATTTCTCCCAAACGCGTTGAGCTAGGAAGCTCAAATTTTCTGACTTTTCCTAAAAGGCTTATACGCAACATGTCTGAACATTTTGAGTTGATCTGACCTCAGGTCAGGTTGTAGCCCCTGCATGTACCGCCGGTCACCGCTAGGCGCGTTTACTTCCACCGGTCGCCGCTAGATGCTGTGAACCGCGAGTTACAGTTTTGTTAACAGGTGTCGCTTTCACCAGTCTCTAAATTGCTAAAGCCTTCGATTAAGTTGTGCGTCCCCCTTTTAACGTTCCGTTCGCTTAAACTGCTGTATTGTTTGGACAATTGTATTGGCTATGTGTATATTAAAAACCATATGTATTCGTTTATTACATTCGATGTTCTCGCCAACATGTGTGCAATACTAGATAACTAAGTTCGTATGTAAAACTATATATGTCTCGATTTTGTGGCGAAATACAAGAGATATCTGTATGTTACAGTGTTTCTACTGGCTACACCAGCCAGATTGGTGACCCCGCGTTCTACGCACTAAGGGATCGCTATCCCCTCGTGTTCCCAGACACACCGACACTGGCCTGCACCCTGAGCTATCTCCTCCAGCTCTCTTTGTGTAGGAAGGAAGTGGCGGATGGTGTGTTTCCACGAGGATCCTTCTTTTGTGCTGAGTGTAACTGAGTGTAACTGGATAACGCCGACTACTACTGCTGCACTACGATCCAGCTACTTCATCGGCTCACCTTACCGTCCGGCTACCTCTGCAGCTGCACCGCAGCACCTGCCGATCGCCGTGTCGCCGTCGCCGCCACCGATCTTCCCGACCATTGCTCTCGGCAGCCATGGACCAGAAGACCCAGCCTGCCGGCGCCGGTGCAGCCGCCGGCACCGGTGCAGCCGCCGGCGCCGGTGCAGCCGCCGCCGCCGCCTCGCATGCCGCTGCTGCTGCTGCTGCCGCTGCCGCCCAACCGGACTACCTCCGCGTGGCGACCGCGCCACGCAGCCACGTCGCGCCGCCGCGCTTCTTCGAGGAGGACCCCGTGATCTGGCTCGTCCAGCTCGACCTCTTCTTCTCTCAGGCAGCTGTGGACGATGAGCTCAGCCGCTTCCGGATCGCCGCTACTCTCCTTCCTGGCCACCTCCTGCGCGACTTCACCGACATCCTTCGCAACCCTCCTCAAGACCGACCTTACACCATCCTTTCCGACGCCATCCGTCAGCGGTTCGGCAAATCAGTCGAACAGCGTCTTCGCTGCCTGCTCTCTGGCCAACAACTCGGCGACAGGCGTCCTTCCCAATTCCTTCGGCATCTCCTGGACCTTGCTGAAGCTGAAGGCTCACAAGATTCCCCGCTCATCCGCCAGATCTTCCTCAATGCTCTTCCGCCTCGGACTCAGCCCTTCCTCCAGTGCCTGCCGCCTGGGACGGACCTTGCGACCATCGCTAGCACTGCCGACCGACTCCTGGAGCTTCCGCAGCAGTCGGACGTCGCTGCACCTACCTCAGGCCTTCTCGCCGCGGTATCGACTTCTGCGCCTGCTGCAGCCTCACCTGCTGCTCCTGCAGGGCCCTTCCACCTCCAAGACCTGATGAGCCAGCTGCTGACTGGTATCACGGCCCTCACAACATCAGTCGCCACACTGGTGGACGAGACGCGCCGCCGAGAGAGGTCTGCATCCCGTGCCCCCGGCCGCGCTCGCCACCGTCCACCACGCGACCTGTCTGCTGCTGCCCGGTCACCCAGCCCTGCAACCAACACGTCTACCGGCGCTGGTGCTTCCTTCTGCTGGTACCACCACAAGTTCGGTACCAACGCGCGCTCATGTCAGTCACCGTGCTCGTGGTCTGCAACCGCAACTCAGCCCTCGGGAAACCAGCAGTAGGACAGGTGACACAGACGTCTGCACCTGCCCTGCTCAACCCTGACGTCCCTCCAGCAAGCGGCCTTCTGAGACTCAAGGACAACAACACTGGCATCACCTTCCTCATCGACACTGGAGCCGAGTACAGTGTTCTTCCAGCGACACCCACCGATCGTGCTCGCGGAACCAACGGACTGGATCTGCAAGCAGCCAACAACAGCAGCATCCAGACCTATGGTCAGCGCATGCTCACGCTTTCTCTCGGCCTCAGAAGAGATTTCAACTGGATCTTCATCATCGCGGACGTCTCCCATCCTCTCCTAGGAGCCGACTTCCTCTCCTCGTATGATCTCCTCGTCGACACCAAGAGAGGCCGTCTCATCGACCACCTAACTGAGTTGTCTTCACCTGCTTCCCACTCTTCAGTGCCATCCACCGGACTGACAGCCGTCATCGGAACCGACAACCCAGCATTCCTTAACCTCCTTCGAGAATTCCCCAGCCTCACCCAGCCGTCACATCATCCGGAGCCACAGCACTCAGTCCGACATCACATCGAGACTACCGGCCCTCCGGTCTTCTGCCGCCCACGCCGTCTGGATCCAGCTCGACTCGCCACTGCCAAGGCAGAGTTCCAGCGCCTTCTCAGTCTCGGAGTCATCCGACCCAGCAGCAGTCGGTATGCATCACCGCTGCACATGGTGCCCAAGTCGTCTGGAGATTGGAGACCCTGTGGTGATTACCGTGCACTGAACCGCATCACAGTGCCTGACCGGTACCCACTACCACATCTCCACGACTTCACTGCCTGCCTCGCTGGGACATCGATCTACTCTC